TAAAAATGAAAACTTTGTAATTACTCGCCCTCCAAATCCAAACCGGAAGATTTTCCATTCATCTTCGGAACACAAATTAAGACCTTTTTGATGAAATCTGAGGGATTTCTGTCCCTCTATTGACAGCTACTCAAGGGACACTTTGACGCTTCAAAAAGTTCACAAAGATATCGTAAAACTAATCCATATGATTTGAACAGTTTAGTCCAAATTTTAATCCAGATTTAATTGAGTCTTTTATTCACATATTAACATTGATCAGCGAACATAAACAGAAGCTCAACCGAACCTGCTTGACACTCGAGAATAAGCCTCTTGCAAACGTGCTGCGTAACACGAGAATGAAACTCGTTGGTTCTTGCTGAAGCTCAAACGTGCTGCGTAACACGAGAATGAACCTCATTGGTTCTCGTACCGTTCCGTTTACCACAACTGATGTGTTGAATGTTTCTATGTGAATAAAAGCCTAAATTTAATCTGTTCATTATATACAGTGATCGAGTCTCATCAGAAAATTTGGACTAAACCACTCTATTCATATGGGTAAGTTTTACGAACTCTTTAGAGCTGGGGGGGATTAATTAGATTAATTGGCTGCGCAGTACTTGGTAGCCTTGTCCGCCTAAATGAATTATAAATAAACATAAAAACTACTATTTGAAGTATATTAAATCGTTTTTGACCTAATTATTTTGCACTGAAATGACACACACGAGTCTGTCGGCTCTGACAGCGTTGCGTCACGTGCCACTGCGCAATATTATAGCTAGCCTATGATTTCAGAAAATAGTACTATGTCAACTAGTGATATCAGCACAAGAACTGTTGAGGAATATGCAACATAATTTAGACAATTGTTTTTGTCAGATGTTATAATAATAAGTTATAACTGTCAGACACTATCATTTCAGCCGCTCTGTGCATGTCCTCGCAAAAAAAATCATATTTATTAAAAAAACCAGATCAAGACGAGAGCAGAAATGAAATAAAGTGCATAACTGAAAAATAAAGCCCTCAAAACAAATACAAGCAGTGGGCACAGCACAATTGCGCATTAGGTTTAGGCATTGGGTTGGGCTAATCCAAAAAGTGAAAACAAGGGGGGTGTTCTGAAGACAGGCTGTGAAACAGGGGTGCTCTGAGAACACCCCCAGTAGCAATTAGTGCTTTCCACCTGATGAAATTAACACGGCAAAAAATCGACCAATCATAATTTTGGTCGAGCCAGAACGTATCGACCAATAAATCGACTAGTCGACTGGGAGATTACAGCCCTAGAACTCTTTATAAACTTTTTGAAGTGTCAAAGTTGTAGTTGTGTAGCTGTCAACAGAGGGACAGAAAGCGCTCAGATTTAATCAAAAAGATCTTCATTTGTGTTCCAAAGATCTTACGGGTTTGGAACGACATGAGGGCGAGTAATTAATGACAGAATTTTTGGGTGAAGTATCCCTTCAAAGAGTTGTCACACAACCTGCTGTCAGATGTCACTACATGTTATAAGCAAGACATGCTTTGGAATAATGTCTGTCAGTAGCTATGTTTTCATCCAAAGTTGCAAATTTAACTTTGTAAATAAAGCATTTGTTTCCATTCCATTTGTTCAAGAGAACAAAATCATCAAACTGGCAAAAACTGGCACAAAGTGTATGGAAGTCGTTGCAATCGGGGAAGCCACTGTGGCACTCCTACATCATAAATGACTTGCTTCTTAGAGCGCTGACAAAGCGCAATAAACGCTGTCATCGTGTTATCTTGAGTTTGTATGCCTGATGTTTGAAAACGCACACTTCTGACACTTTCCAGACACTTCTGGGAGGTCATTATACCAAATCATTCTGATGACAGACATTGGCTTAGGCGTGTCAAAATGATCAAACCAACATTTGAGATGCTGTGCAAGTGCAAAATATTTTTTTCATGGGCATTTTTAGAATTTATGCGCTTCTTGGGGCTTACATGCAGCATTTTATAAAAAAAATGTATGCAATATCCCAAAATGTGCATGAAATAGGTGGATGGAAACATAAATAATGGCACAGTGACACACATACAAATGTCAGTTTTTTAATGTTAGGCGTCTCAATTTCCAGAACATGTGATCAGTGATCACTTTAATGGTTTTTCATAATTCCCCCCCCAAAAAGTTATATTTTTGAGAAAGTGAAATGAATGCCATTGCATTTCACCTGAATAACTTTAGCGTTTCGGTTTCAGTAAATAGATTCGGTATTTGTTTTTCTTTCTTTCTTTTGTTTTATTTTGAGAGTAGTTGCATGACTTAGAGGTCAGTCAGATGTTAAATGGTAGGATTCTGTGACAGCCTCCAGCTTCTCTAAGGCTTACAGGGCCATTGACAAGTGAAACAACAGCGATTCAATAAATAAATAAATAAATAAATCCTGGATTAGACACTTTCGTGTCTGTGGTGGAACAAAACTTTTTGACCAGCCTTAATACAGGCACCAAAGACACCTTTCAGATCTAGATATTAAGAAATGCTAAATTATTAATGGTCATAGCAGGAAAAATGATCATTCTACTACACTAGTTGGAGCTCAGTTACAAGCCAATAGTTTTTTAAAGGGGCTGTGAAGTTACTGGACTCAGTATTTCTACAGGGAAACCAGAGATGAGGGAATCACCCCCACCAGCTGCGTGCATTATAAAAATATTTATTCTCATTTCTGTGAAGCTCCATGTGATCCAGCATGTATTTTCAGCCCTGTTACCCAATATCTTCCATGCATAGAAGACCTGTAACCCTCTGCTATTTTCTCTCTCGGCTGTGCGTCGACCAGCATAGCCAGCCACAGCGCAGCACGGCATTCTCTCGAACAGTCATTTCCCCTCTGCTTGTGGAAGGGACTAGTTCCCTAATTTTTAAACTGCACATTTGCCTTTTGCATGTGTGAACAGTTTCTGTTTGTTTGATTGTCACAGTGTATGAACTTCTTATCTTATCTGACACATTTATACATACATATGCCCTGTTTACTCACGACTGGGTGGTGGCTTTCAGATAAGTGCAAGACATTTTCATAATAAGAAGTTCATCTGTTGTTTTTGTTGAGGCCATGCGTGCTGCTGACCCTTGTATCATTATGATTGTAACCTGATGAATGTTGTAACAGCTGTGAATGACCTTTAAATCTCCCATGCCCTCCAGCTTCAGTCAACACTCTTGTTTCTAATCTTTAAATTGTTGTTCACTCTAGGATGTGTATTTATAGATGCATGCCATTAGCCACCACATCACTTCAGAGACCCTGATCAGTTATGAACAAGATTTTAAAGCTGCACAATTAGTGTGTCCTTGAATGACCTTCAAAAAACGTATCCAGCTCCCCGTAAAAAAAAAAGGTATTTGGATACTTAAAGGGTTAGGCCTAGTTCATCCAAAAATGAAAATTCTGTCAGTAATTACTCACCCTCAGGTTGTTCCAGCCCCGTAAGACTTTCGTTTATCTTTGGGACACAAATTAAAGCTGCCGTCGGCAACATTTTTTTAATCATATTCAGTGAAATCGACACTATAATCTGACAGAACAACATAAATAAAGTGGTTTTAGAAAAAAACCCGAGCTTCTAACTCCACCTGGAGCTTGTTATTTGTTTTGCAAAAATCCACAGCTCCCGGTTCATCATGTCCAATCAGCGCAGGGGGGTTTGAGATCTGACTGTCAATCACAGATCGGGCACACGCCACCCTTCGCGCACGTTACAATCACATGCACACGCCTGAAGTTCGCGGAAGTTCGCGCAGTAACGAAGAGTGATGGCGGAAAATCAAGTAAGCTCATTTAGAGTATAAATGACGTTAGCAATTGCAATCTATCGGTAGATTAGCCAGGACAGCATACCTCCAAATACTCCATGGTGTTGATGGATGCTGATGAGACGGGCGCGTTCCAGGGCTCTCAAGTTTTGAAGACAGGTAAGAGTGACACCCAGCCGACAGGGGGTTGTTCGATACATTTTTGTCATTGGTTGTTGCGTTAAATCTTACCCAGATACAATAGTGCTATTTTCTGATTGGCTATTGTGTAGCTCGACGAACAACACCAGAGGAAACGCGCTTGATTCATGCCGGTTCCACAGTGAGAGCGGCGCGGCCAGAGTTTTGGGCGCTGCGGCATATTAAATATATTACAAATAGTTTTTCAGCGTGAGAAATACAATGTGTGGCGGGAGAGCGTGACAAAAGACCGAAATGAGTGACTGTCACGCTCAATGCGTGACACTTGAGCCCTGGCGTTCACTGAAAATCTGGTGCACACGCACTGACGAGCATGAACTGGGTGGGAGGGTATCCGTTGATAGTGGGGGAGGGGCATGAGAGTTGTAAACATTCAAAATTTTCCTAAATCCACTCAATCTGCCAGACTTGCCGACTGCAGCTTTAAGATATTTTTGATTAAATCTGAGAGCTGGATCACTCCTCACTCCTATTGTAATTGAAACCTGCCGGCCCAGAAAGTTAATAAAAACTTCATTAAAATAGTCCAAGTGACTACAGACTGTGGCTCAACCTTAAGTTTATCAAACGACGAGAATACTTTTTGTGCGCAAAACCCCCCAAAAATAACGACTTTATTAAACTATTCATCTTCTACTGTGTGGACCTCCAGAGTGAGTTCACGTAGTGTAACAGCGCAGCGCTACGTCAGAACGTAGGCTCACTATTGGCCAACGCTGGTCATGAGTGTCATGCTGGATGAACTTACCCTTTAAGTCACAATTTAAATGTAGGAATGACATTTTTAACACAAATTTGGGCACTTTATAGTTGTCAAAGGTTAGAGAAACACATGATGACCTACGCCCTGTGTGAACTATAGGGGACCTGAAATCATGCAGTCACCCTGTTGGTTAGAATTAATAGCTAAAATTACTTTTTTGATATGAAATTGTCTTGCTTTTCCTTTTTAGTAAGCTCTCTCAGGTATGACATTACAGAAAAATTTCCTGTTGCAAATGCATGTTTTCTCTTTTAACAGATATCCAGGAATTTTACGAAGTGACCTTATTGGATAATCAGAGATGCGGGGAATCGGTGAAAGTGCCCGATGTGATGCCCCCAATGAACCTGTGGGATTTTTCCAGCATTCAAAGCACAACGGTGACTTCAGACACCCTGCCCAGCCTTAGCACCAGCATAGAGGTAAGAGTGCTCCAATTTCTAATTATCTGAATTAGATTAGCGAATAGAGCTCAGAATAGTCTGGTCTGATTTATAGGGTCAATTTGATGCCGTTTAAGACTTTGCATTTCTGCTAACACATTTCTAGCCTCTCACAAACATCTCACAGTGTAAAAACATTGATGTTTTTAAAGAAAATGTCATACTGCTTGTTTTTCATTAAACAAGTCATGCCACAACATGGTCGTTTAATTAGACAGCATTTAGATTACTAAGCACCAACCAAACATGACATGATTGACATGTTAATTGGGATTAGATGGTAGTCTTAAATATTAAATGAAAGGACGCTGTGTGGATGCTGTCATTGGGGCTTTTTTGTTCTCACACTTCATTTGTAACTGTTCTGGGGTGCGTTTCTCAAAAGCAACTATGGGAAACGGCGTTCAACGGAGCTTGCGACCATAGTTGGCTAATGATGCTTTTGGGAAACGTACACCTGAACGGGAAAGGAAATGTCTCCCTTACATGAAACACGTGTGCTTTTGCTGTTACACACTCTTATGTAATCATCAGTTAGTCATTCTGGGAATCTGATATCCTGCTTTGCATGTTACCACAGAAGTCATTGTTGGTGGAATTCACTGTAATCCATTTTAAAGAGTACTGGAAATCATTCGCTGAATGACTCCTCACACTGTCGCAAAAGACACTGTCCTCCTGGATTCAGGGGGAGTTTTTCGGTCTCAGTAGCTGTGTGTGATGCTGCTGAAATCAAATATGACAGTCTTTACGCTCCATGGCTCTAACTGCAGTCTCTGTGCTTGCTGTTTGTGAGCTTGAATACTTGAGTAGCAGATGTTCTCTTTCCATGAGAGGAGGAACAGAATAATGTACTTATGCAGAATATCCTGAAAGAAAGCAATGTTCAATCACTAAATGACCTCTTAAAAGCACAACAATATAGATAAGTTGTCACAGAATTGTTTCATTATGGTTTTTTTAAGTATCTAAACTGAACAAGCAGTGTAAATTCATACATTTTTTGAGTTTAGGAGTAGATATGCAGATACCTTCAGACTTTTGCTGCTTAATGTTTGCTTGTGTGTCAGGAAAAATTATTTCAGCACTGGTCATTTCTCACCACACTTTTGAAAAAATGTGGAGAAAAAATTGGACAGGAAAAGAGAACACAACAATTTTTCTCTTCCAGTCAGTTTTATTTCTCTTTCAGTTAAAAATATCAAAGGTTCACAATGCATACTACTAGAAAAAATAAATAAATAGCAAACATATTAGACATGGTTTTGTAAGCTTCATTACACACCAATAATTATCTTTAATTTAATAGTAAAAAGCATGGTAAATATCACTTGTGAACCATTTTTATTTTGCATAATTTATAATCAAACTGCAATTTAGTCAAATTATGCTAATAGTGTGAACATAGAAAGTGTATAAAATGTTTATTCTTACATAATGAAATTGTGTGTTTTTAGGAAACATAACAAGCTAGCCATGAAACATAGCTTTATGGCAAAACAAAGGATTCAGAAACTTTATTCCAAAGTTCATTCCCAGTGTCAAGTGTCATTCTACAATATAATGCTATTAAACACTGTAATAATGAAAGAATTCTCTTCAATGTCCATTGTTGTGCATAGTTGAAGAAACACTCATACTACTATTTTTAGTTTACTTGCTGTGTAGATAAGCTTTGGCAGTCTAAGGTAACTCCAGAAGTTATCTACCTTTTTCATACGCCCCATGAAAATCAGTGAAAACGCAATAAGCATTTACAAAAACTGGGTATAACGAGATGATATTATTCTACTCACCCTTCAACCATCGGATATTAAAAGGACATTTAAAAGTGTAAGAGCACTAACAAATTAGAGCACTAACAAATTAATAACCACAAAAGATTGATTATTTCCGCAGCAATATGTTAAAAATCAAATAAAAAATGCGCATTAACTGGAACATTGAGTAATAATATTTCAAAGTGATTTTCGTCATTTTGATGGACAATAGATATTGTATTCAAACAAACCTGTAAAGAGACGTGAGGATTTGGGCAGACAATTTTGATACATTCCAGTGAATTATTCATGGGATATATCATAAATTAAATCGGGAGAGCAGACCACAAATGTGCAGTGTATGTTGTATTTTTTCATAATATTACAGTGGAATACAAAGGAAAAAAATCAATTCAGCGACTGAAAAGAACTCATGCCATATATATTCTTGTTACCATCATGACACATCATATAGAAAACTTATGTTTTGAAATGATTTGTTTCAGTCTTTTTGAGTGGAACATCCCCAAACCGGAAGTGCCTCCCATAATCTAAAGCGCAATAGTCTTGTTAGGTCTTGTAAGTGTGGATCTACAGTTTGTTTTACTAAAGGTTACCAAACAAGTTTTGCTCAACTATAACATCTGACAATTGTGAACAAACTAAAAAGATCATAAATAAATAAACTTGCTTTGTGCCCAGCTTCTCAGAGTTCTACAGAATTAGAAGAATTGATCGCTTGTAATAACAATAGTGATGTTTGTTAGTGACTTGTCAGACCACATTCTTGGTGTCTTATCATATAAACATTGTGTAAACAGTGTTGATGTAGTTTGGATCAGTCAGTTTGTCACAACACCACCACCTGCCTGCAGTGTGTAGACGTGTACAACATGAACACTCACTAATAAAATAACAGATTATTGGATCCAGTCATTAGCTTAGTTGGGAAAAAGGAACTCAACTGATTGACTAAAATCTCAGTAACAACATTCTCAGACTGACCAGTGTCTTAAGATGAAATGGTGTTTACATTTCTATAAGTGAGTTAGTCAATAAGCTGATCCGATTCTCTAAACGTGTTCAGCTACTGCAAATATCACTTAGAAAACCTGTAAATCTGAGGCTTGAACTGCCAGAGCCTGAACAATGGACTTTGGATATGTTACGCAATAATCACTTATTCAGAATAATTCTTCTCATTCAACTCTAACTTACAGGGCTTTCTAATATTTTGTTTTATACAAACAAAATCTGAATTGTTGCTTAGCGTCAAGCTTTTGAACTTCATACTAGTGGAATGTAGGTCATTTTAAATAAACGTATCTAACTCGCACCTCTGCTGTGTATTTCAATGTCCTTTCTCTTTTCCCTCTTGTTTCTTTCTGTGTTAATAAAATGGCCACTCTCAGGACTCTCCCCTCCTAAATGAAATCCTTCTTGTGCTCGCTAAAGCGAAATCCTCCCACAGTGAGCTGGACCAAGTGAGTATCACACCGGCGCGGGTCTGGTGGGTTGGGCATCCCCCATGGCCGCATGTCTGGGCCGTTCATTTCCTCCTACCCTCGTCGACGGGGTTTGCTCCAAGAATAGAGGGACTCATGGGTCATTGCGCCCTCATTCATTTAGGCTCGCCTCATGGGTCATAGGTCATAGCATTATCGGTGGGATACCACGTTTTGGTGGCCAAGCTGTGGGTTGCATTTTCACAATGCTGAAACTTTATTCAAAATGTGTTGGCAGCATTAAATTCATAACGTCCAAAATGTGACACATTTGTTTCTGAATGCGATCAGCCGATTAGCTGATAACGTTTTTTTTAATGATTTGTGGAATTGGATTTTTAATTACATAATTATTAAATTGTGCTGTTTAATATAATAATTTCATCAAAATAAGTCTTTTTAAGCTTGTGAAAATGTCAATTTGGTGTTGTAAGTTTAAAAATGTATTTAAATCTCTAGTCTTATTTAAGGACTGTTAAATGATTAATGTTTTTTTATATGTACCAGCAAAATGTGTATTTTATGTTGTTCACTTTTCGCATTGTCTTATGATTGTACCTGTTACCTATTATCAAACAAAATTTCACTATGGACTCATTACACAGACTTTGATTCCAAATTTCTGATGCAATATTTAACATCATAATTGTAGCAAAGTTTTTAACATTTACATTTTTAAAAAATTTACATTTAACACTTTACTTTGTGTTATATTCTACAGTACTTGCGAAGGGATTTCTAATACAGATGCTGAGCTAGTGACTGTACATTGTTCTCTTTTGACTGGCACAATCCATCTTTCTAAAGTCATAGAAATGCAATTGTATATTTCTCTTTTACCGCTGGAAAAATGGAAACACAAAAATAATATTTGGTATGATGTCCCATGTACCTCTATAGAAATATTTTATGTATAGTTTACTTCTATGTTCCAAACTTGGTAATGTGAAAAGGGTCCATAATGGAAGAACTTTTTTAGACCGTAATGTATTTATATTCTGAGAGGCTAAGAGGTTTGTGTCATTACTTTATAACAAGGCTAATTGATGGCAATCTTGAGGTGAAACGCATGACAAGTACACAAGTTACGAATCAGCTTACTTTTTTCAAGAAACTAGTAAAGTAACGCATTGCTTTTACAATTACAACAAAATATCTGTTACTTTTTCAAACAAGTAATGCAAGTTACTTTGTTTTCCCATTTATTGACTGACAGCTCTAGTGTCCCCATGTTGAGAGAAATCGGAAGTGATCTCCTGACGACGCGCAAGTTAAAGAACCCAGACACAGCTGGATCATTTCCATAATGACTCAATCCACCAAGAGCAGCACAAATTAGTGTCTGGTTTAACCCTCTGGGGTCCTTCGGCCCAAATGGACCCGAAGCATTTAAATATATATATTTTTTAAATCATAGCTTTATTGGAATGGTCCGAAATTTGGTGACTTTGTTGGTACTTGGTAAATGAACACCCAAAAAATTGGGGACAGGATTTGAATAGTCAGTGGTTGTAAAAAAAATAGTCACACTCAGGACCTTTGGGTTTTTTTGTGCGTACAATCTACAAATCAGCCACGATCCAGAAAAAAAGCACGCAACAGTGAAGGGGTGAATCTATAAAACATCAAGAGTGCAAAACAGACACATCCACACACACACACACACACACACACACACACACACACACACACACACACACACACACACACACACACACACACACACACACACACACACACACACACACACACACACACAAACACACTTTTATACACATACACACTAATAAATTCAGATTACATATGGGTTTTGAATTTTTAAAATGCTCAGTTTGTCCACCAGATGGATGGCATCCATCTCATTTCAAAAATTGCTTTCATGAGGCCTAGGCTTGACTCTAAAATGAAATACAGCTTTAAGAAAAAAAAAAAAAAAATTCTATTATATTCAATGGGGAAAAAAATGGGTCATAATTATTGCATTAATATTAATTATAAATCATTTTTATTTTTGAAATTATCTCAAAACACCAAAAAAGAAAAGAAAAAAATATTATAAAAAACAAGTAAAAAAAAAAAAAGATGATTTTTTAAAAATAAATATTAATCCCACCCTTCCGGCCCATTTGGACCCGAAGGTCCTGAGTGTGACTCTGAAATGAAGGACCCCAGAGGGTTAAGACATGCTTTTTGGGCATTAAATAATGGCACAAATTCCAGTAAATTGACTAGCACAAACCTTAGTAAATCACCTTGCATTATTATTCATTTTAAATAATAGTCTCCTATAAATTGTGCGTCACAAAGGGAAACTCCTACAAATGCATATGCAAAAAGGTCAGCCGCAAAAATAACCCTCTGCATGCCTTTTCAGTGCTAATTTTTCACTGTGTAAATCCTGACAGAAGTTCTTTAACATCAAAAAAGGTTTTGTGCTGGCTCAAGCTGTAAGTAAATCTGGCACTTGGTGTGAAAAGACCTTTACATTTGCCAAAGATAGAACTTTTGTTATACAACAAACAAACCAGCAAGCCCTGAACAGGTGAAAAAAGTAACGTAACACATTACTTTCCATAAAAAGTAACTAAGTAATGCAATTAGCCTGCTGGTCTTGAACCAAAACCCCCCTAGGGCCCTATCATACACCCGCTGCAATGCAGTGCCAGACTCTCGTCACAAGTGTTTTTTGCTAGTTTCAGCCTGACGCAGTTATCATTTTCACGTCCTGTGCCACATTGTTTAAATAGCAAATGCATTTGTGCGCCCATGGGCGGCTGGTCTGAAAACGAGATGTGTTAAGCCGCATTGTTGGCGCGTTGCTATTTTGAGGCAAATGAAATAGACTGCGTCATTGACCAACAAAAACCTGGGGCTGGTTTCACAAAGCTATTTTAGACCGGCTATAGTGTTATATTCTAAAATTTGCTCATAGACTAGTCTAATGCAAGTTAGACTGTTTCTCAAAAATAAAGACTGACTTAATTTAGACCAAATTTTTTTTATTTTCCCTCAGGCTAACTAAGGTCTAAGACTCTGTTACCTTGGCAACCAGCAGTAACAATCAGTTACATTACAAACAGCCAAAAGAAAAGGGAAAATGGCCCTTACCATATATATTCATCACCATTTCAGTGGTGTCTTTAAGTTTCTCTTGGGGTCCTCCTCCCGTTTTTGGATATTTCCTCTTAAATATTTATTTTTTGGCATCTTGTACCATGTTTTTGTATCTTTTCTGTACGTCTTTAACGCTCCGCTCAATGGTCGGATTAACACTGTTAACTGTCGTAGCAATCTTTTTCCAAATTAAACATTTCTTCTTGTTACTACATTCTCTGCTAAACTTCCCAAGTACAATGTCCTTGTAACTGTTATACTCCTCCAACAAACACATATTTTCCGCTGGGGTAAACTGCACTGAGCGATTGAATGCGCTTACTCGATCCGCCATGTTTTTTGTTTTGAAAAGTGTCTTATTTTACCCAGAATGCATTGCAGTGTAGACCTACTTAAGATAGTCAGAGGCTGTGTCCGAAATCTCCCACTACTCACTATATAGTGGACTATATAGTGAGCTCGCCATTTTGTAGTGCTGTCCGAATGTATAGTGATGATTATTATACCCTATATAGTCCACTCAATGTATCCCAGAATGCATTTTGAAAAGTAGTGTACAACCGATGGTCACTAACCCAAGCCCTACATACCATCATGCATTGCGCTGATCGTAAAAGACCTATCAGCATCATCTTCATCTTTAACTTACAATTTGACGACGTCTCGCTAGCGTAGCAAGAACAGCACGTCGTTTTCTGTGTCTAGAAATCCTGTTTCTTTTGCTTATCCGCAAAATCTTCTGAATCACGAGAACAAACAAACAAAAAAGATAAATATTGAGTGGCATCTCCACAGAGTCTAAAAGCTGTTTTTGGTAAAAGCTGAGTATTATGAGCAAGATATTTGATAACATAGATCTGTTTTTTTTTCTCCAAATGTCGACAGGCAAGAGAAAACGGTGTGGCGCGAAAATGAAGATATATGAAATATGTGTATTAAGCTCAATATAATGTAATGTATTTATAAAAAAAAAAATCTATTTAGCCCAGAGCTGGCTCGGCACCAGCTGACAGATGTCTCGAGAGACGATCGAGTAGTGTCCGAAAGTGGTGTTTCTATTATGCTGGTGAGCTCACTATATAGTGCTCTACTCCCTACCCCCTACATAGGGGTTAGGGAGTAGTGGTTTGAGTGGAGATTTCGGACACAGCCAGAGTCTTAAGTGCTTTGTGCAACGGTCTGATTTAGATGTCTATCTGAAGTCTGACTATATCTACTATATATAAGCCATAGTCAAATTCTATGTTTGTGAAACCGGCCCCTGCTGTTCTAAAGTCAATGGCGCAATTTTTTTTTGTTATTTAAAGAGCGCGTTAGTAATGTGTGCCTATACGCTGATTTCATGCAGCCGTTATTTTGAAATCGAAAGCGAGGCTCCGGTGGGAAGAAAACCGGCAGTGCCGCCTTTAATCACAGGAGAGTCGCGAGTGCGATGGTGTATTATTGTGTTTAATGTAGATAGTAGTTATTCTAAAACTGTACATATATTTATTTCATACTTTAGACTATATACAGTGAAATTCATTTATAAATAAAATTATTTTTTTATATATAATTCAGAAAGTAAAAAAAGTAGCAGGAACGAACTATATACATATCCTATATTGGATATTAACATCTAATCGCGGCAGCAGCTTCAGGTTGGTAGTCCAAGGCATTGTTGTTTATCTTTCCTTCCGGGGTTCTTCCCACCGGAGCCTCGCTTTCGATTTCAAAATGGCGGCTGTGTGAAATCAGGGTATAGGCGGGTAAAAAACGCACGTACACTTTGTCCCGTATATGGTCTGCTCCTTAACCTCATGCATGAGCAGATCCGTTTCATCGGTAGAGAAGCGTTCAGTTTTTCCGCTTGCAAAGTCCGTCAT